TATCTATCTATCTATCTATCTATCTATCTATCTATCTATCTATCTATCTATCTATCTATCTATCTATCTATCTATCTATCTATCTATCTATCATTTGAAGATCACTGAACATACATCAGGCTCTGTCTTATTGGAGAGAAATCTTTACAAATATAGAGTTTTCAACAGAGTTTCAACAAATTCTAAGCAGCTGTTTGCCCTTTTTACTTGTCCAGTCTGCTATAACAATGTCAAAAAATTAAAAAAACTACAAAGCTAGAACAATTCCATCCTGGAGCACTCGGCGCCATGCTTTTGCAAACACAATCAGCACACTTGGTCTGGTGCTGCCAAGAATAAAATGCACTGTAGCATTTGTTTGAGCTGAGAGTTTTTAAAACAGAACCACTAACGTCTGGGTTTTGTTAAATCTCTCAAGGACAGAAAAAGACATTTTGCAATTCACAATTCTCCCAAGTATCTCCACTCCAAGGCTGGCTGAACTCACAGTTGGAAGCTGTTACTCACTAAATCTGGATGAAACTCTTTTATTTAGAAAGACAGAAAGATTAGAATTTAAGGGGTTAATACATGACAACAGTTAATGCTGTATTTTTTTATGCATTTATTTATCACTGTTATTATAAACGCTTTCTCTTCTTTTCTTTTCTTTTCTTTTTGGCTAGCATCACTGATATAGCCACAGGCTACATGCCTGACTTCCGAGTAGCTTTGCAGCTGGGATGTTGGTGATTTTGTCAGGGACACCTCAGTGGTGGAAATGCAAGAGAGGCAAATGTTTTCCTTTTTCTGCCTACATCCTGATAATAATGCATTCCGTTTCTTTTTTTGATTTTAAATAGGATTTTTTTTTTCCCTGTTTACTGTCATACAGATGAGGTGTGATTTTTTTTAAAGGAGCTGACAATAACTCCATAATATAAAAAACCTTTACCTGCTGTAAGTTTGTCTGATCTCCCTTAAAAAGTCATCTTCTGGTGCACATCTGGACAATTTTTAATAGAGATGCTTTTTTTTTTTAGATCTCCCAGTGGAAGTCCCTCTTTGTCCTCTTGCACTTGTGCCTCTGTGACAGACGCTGGATCTCCTCTTATGTGTCACAACTGCGATCCTTCAATTTGATTTTCAATTCTATAATTGTTGCAGGGAGACAAATCTGGTGACTGGTCTAAAGCAGTGTGCAAAGGTTGTTTTAGTGGCTTAAAAAGTCCTGCATTTTCAGTTCTGTTCTGAATGTTCTCCTTTAAATATCCTTCCACTGACTCAAGTTGCTACAATTATATTCAGTCTTGACAGTCTCTCACTGAGAGGTGAATTTATAATTTAAAGCCATATGTAGTTTGAAAGAAAATGACAAGCATTCTCTCACTGCCACTTCTTGTCTGAAGAGATGCCTTTACAAGTGGAAACGGTGAAGTCTTCAACTGGAAAGAGACCCTGCTCACATTACAATTAATGACCATCCACACAAAACTCAGGTCAGTTTGAAGCAGAGGTTGATGTTTTCTCTCTGTACAAGCTTGGAGTGAGTAGGGAAATCACTGACCAAAGGTGCAAGGGGTCACAATGGGACTTCAGATAATTTTTTTGTATTCTTCGCTCCGTTTCAGGCAAGTCCTAACTGCTTTTCCATCCTTGGGTTAGGAAGGCCAGACAATCAGAAGGCTTAAAGCAAGAGAAGTCTTAAAGGATGATGAATGAATCAACAGTGCTTCAACAGTGCCCAGTATATGATAAATAAGGCTTATTTTCACCTGTGAGTTGTGCAAAGCTACTTTAGCTTTGCCCAAGAAGAAAAATGTGAGCATAGTAGGTCCTCTGTCAGTAATTCTTATCCTAAACCTTTGCCTCATGCAGTTGCATAAACATCTAATTTCATATTTGTGGTTTCAGGATTCTGTTATATAAACATATTGTCATGTGTTATATTTCAAGAAGTTAATATCCAGCTCTTTGTATGTGTGTGGGTGTGTATCACTCATCCATATACTGCATTATCTGAACATTAATAAGGATTTTGACACAACTGTTTTAAGGATTTTTTTAATGGCAGAACTCTGTGTTTTATTCTAGCAGAAATTATGCTAGTTCCCAGTAAGTGTGTATCATTATCTGCTTTGTGTATTTATTCATGAGATTTTGGCAGGAAATGTAAAACTGATATGTTTTTTCATTGTTTTGTTTTTTTAAAGACTGTTAGTAGAAGACATGTTTATACGAGTGAGAAGGATTTGCACTGAAAGATAAAGTACAAAGGTTTTATTATCGGCCTATTTTGGATTTTTTCTGACTACTGTAGTTGCAGCAATCACCCCCTCGACTTGCCCCAGATGCTGCCGCAGAGCTGATTTGGTGGCCAGGTGTCTTTGTTAAATGTGAAAGTCTGCTGCCACTGCATGATTTATTTGTTCTAATGTGAAAGATGTACATAACGTAGTTCTCATTCTGATGACGTATGGATTTATCGGTTGCTATTTTCCTGATATTTAACAGCATAATTTGTAAAGTTTTACTTTGCTGTAAAAATGTAAAATGATTGGAGCTTGTTCCTCTTTGTATAGTGATCTTCCAGAACAATATTTGTTGGAACATTTTCCATGATGTTTTTTTTTTTCCTCTAAGGCCTCAGCTGCTTTCAACAACTTTTTTTTTGCCGTGAACCTTTACTTCAAATTTAAGCCACACATGATTGAGCTGAACAATCTGGGGTCACTGTCTGTTCCTGACCTCATAAAGGTAGCTTACACTTGCAGTCTTCATGGCAATATAGAGACTCAGTCATTAACTTTTCACACTAACATCAGAGTGCCTCATCATTCACTAAATTGTCTATTAAAGGATGTTCATGTTTGCAAAGTGGCTGAGGTTCTACTGCAAAAATGTGTTGTTGAACATGCCTCGTGCTTTAGCACATATACTGAGCATGCTTTATTGTATTAGATTTCTCCACCAGTTGAATTGTTTCTTGGGTTAATTGAATGCTATTTTAAGACCAGACTATTAAATATTTGATCTAAAAAACAAAGTGTTCTTGGAATGTTTTTTCTACCATTACAGTTGAAGACTTACAGTGTTGCGAGAAGATGCACTGTTCAGGCACTGTGTGAGAGGAGGTAATTGCTGTTGTCAGCCTCGTCAAAAGCAAGCCCACTGAATCGTGCCTGTTCACAAAACTTTGCTGTTGCTGTAATTGCGTGCACAGCCGGGATAACGTGAGCTTTCGGGCGCCGTACTGAAGGTGTGGGGGAGGAAAGTGGAGGAGCTGAGCGGCAGTCTGTCACAGGAGATTAATGTGACTATGATGACCTTTCTGCTTCCTAAATAACAAAACATGTAGTGAACTGAATCAAACCGTACATGAACTATTAATTAAACACAACATATATTCCGAAAATATTTTTAATTATGTTTCCTTAATATACACAACATATTTGTCAATAGAACTTTCCTCTTGTATGTTTTCATTTGCCCTGATGTCATTTGCGTTGTTTTTTAACCGTATAAGATGATTTTCTGACAGATGTTTTCTGCATGACTCTGCTGCCCTCTAGTGAGCAAGAACAATACCGCAGGTGTAATGATAAAATTTAAACTCAGACCAGAATTCAAATCTTTTTTTTGTTGTTGTTGCTGTTTGTGTCTTTATATTTGTTGTTGCACTGAATTTTGTGAGATCTGTAATAAGACATTTATCGCCAAATTTATCAGTTAACCAAATTTGCAACTTTTGAAATGCTATACCGAACACAAATATTTACAATAGTCTCTTAACTGGTGCCCTTAACTTGTTTTATTTTACATTACTGTCTTAAGTAAAAGTCATAATCTCCCTGTAGCAATCGAGCAACAGTTGTATCCTAAAATCATCCTTAAAGTATTTAAGTTGAAATACTCAATATGCAGAATGGAACATTTGTGAACATATTTTATTATTGGATCATAATTGCTGAATTTTTTAATCTCACAGCTCGATATGAATTTATTATTTAGCTTAATTAAGCTTTGTCAGTAGTGATACAGTATAGTATATGGCCATTTTATTGTGTACATCTTGCTAATACTGTGTTGGACCCCTTTTTGCCTTAAGAACTGCCTTAATTCTTCATGTCGCAGATTAAAAAAGGGTTCTGCGAGCATACTTCAGATATTTTTGGTCCATGTTAACAGGATGGCATGACATACTTGCTGGAGATTTGTCAGCTGCACATTCATGATGAGACACTCCTGCTCTACCAGATCCCAGAAGTGCTCTATCATTGAAATCTGGTAACTGTGGAGGCCATCTGAGCACAGTTAACTCATTGTCACGTTCAAGAAAACAGTATAAGATGATATGACACATTTCCCTGTAGGAAGCAGCCATCAGAAGATGGGTACTCTGGTCACAAAAGGATGGACATGGTCAGCAACAGTAGTCAAGTCAGCTGCGAAGCTTACATGATGCTAAATTGATACTAAGGTGTCCAAAGAGTGCCAAGAAAATATCCCCACACCATGACACTACCGCCGGCCTGAATAATGTTGTATATACCACATTGTGACTATCTGAATGTTGCATCAGAATCAGTTTTACAATCTTGTCTTTTCCAGTTTTGATAAGCAGTAACTGTATCCTCCGTTTGTATTCTTAGCTGAGGAACGTAGCACACCGTGTGGTTTTCTGCTGATTCTTCTGCATCAAGGTCCAACATGTTGTGCACTGTGGTGCTGTTCTACATAACTCGGTTGTGTTTATTTGAGTTACTGTTGCCTTCAGCTCCAAGCAGTCTGGCTATTCTGCGCTGGCATGAACAAGACCTTTTCACGCAAAGCTCGCTGGATATTTTGTCTTTTTGTATCACTCTCTACAAACCTGAGGTATTTGTGCAGGAAAATCCCAGCAAATCATCAGTCTCTAAACTAACACTATTCTGATTTTCACTTTGAAGGTCACCGGCAGGTTGTCTTTACAATCTTTCAAATCTAAATACACCAAGGTTCTGCCATTTACTGGATAATTAGATATTTGCATTGATGAGCAGTTTTCCAATGAAGTGGCAGTATAAGAAGGTTTATGTTTTAAAGTCCACAAAATAAAGAGTAAAGTTTTCAAATAAAACAGTATGGAGTACAAAGTACAATGCTGGCATAAAGAAATAACAGGTTAGAGGCAGATAAACACCTTCAGTAATTACTTGATTAACTCTAATAATTAATTGCTCAACAGGTGCTATTCATGCTCATCAAAGGTGTTGGGCACCATTAGATTACTAGGGGTCAACCCACACTTCTCCTAACTTTTTAGTTTTTAGTTTTAAGTTTAGTTTCAACCTTACGCCAGTTAGTTGCACTTCCGCTTCCTTCCAGCAGATGGTGCCATTGACTCACAACTAACGCTCCACTCTCGACGTCGAAGAAGAGCTGCAGCCTCTCAGCAACCAGCAGAGACGTCTCTCTCTCTTCTCTCCTCTCCTCTGCTCAGCTCTCCTCTTCTCCATCCTCTGCGGAACATCGGCCTGTTTTCCTCCCGTCCCTCCTCCAGCGGCAGACACCCAGCTCGTCATGGACAACTCCGGGAAAGAGAAGGAGGCCATGCAGCTGATGGCTGAAGCCGACAAGAAGGTCAAAGCGTCCGGATCCTTCCTCGGAGGGATGTTCGGGTAAAGGATGCTCTGATTCTCTGCCTCTGTTTACCAGCTCGTCGTGGTGGTGGTGGGGAGGGGGCTCTCTGCAAACAGGGCCCATCTTCTCCACGGACAGACCGCTTTATTATGTCTATATTAAGCCTGTGATATACAAATAACGCGCCTGACGCTCAGAAGCGAGCGGCACATGAGCCTGCATTGCACGCTTTTGTATTTTATCATCACCCTTTAATTTATTCCTTATGAATCCCACCGGGTGCGCCTAACTTTCACTATGACATTGTGTCCTTTTTTTAACGTTTATAAACGAATCATGGAGTCGGCTTCGTGCCAGAAACACTGGCTGGCACCGCAGATTGTGCATCTTGGCAAATGTAAATGTGGCACATCTCTGGATGGTGCTGATGCTGAGGATGCTGGAGGTGAGCGAGTTTGGATGAAGCGTGAGGCCGAGGCAAAGATGCAGGGAGGCGGGGAGAGCAGCGCAGGCAGGCCGGTGGTGATGCGGTGTTTGCGGGGGATGGTTTTCTTTTTGGTTTTTTATTTGCTCTGTGTGTGTGTGTGTGTGTGTGTGTGGGGGGGGGGGGAATGGGAGTGAGTTAGCTTATATTTCACGCGTGTGGGAGGGGCGGATGTTTAGCCATCATTTTTGATATGATGTAACCATTGATAACAAACAGCCGGTTTGCTTGAGGCAACTTATTAACTGAGGGCTCTTTGTGTAATAAAGAAAAAAAAATAGAAAAACATGTATTCTGTGCAAAGCAGGCCTCTCCAAATTCAAACTGACCCGATGGCCTCTGAGATTAGTCTCTCCAAATCTGACTGTTTACTATCTGAATCTGATAAATTTGGGTCAGATGATTGCAGCCAGCTTCAACTCAAACAGACATGTTTGAGGTTGGTATAAGGAAACACTGTGAACATGTGCATTTACCCTAATTATCTTTAAGGTTTAGATTCTAAAATCAATTAATCTGCATGTCCTGAGTATCTGTTAGAGTCATGTCGGTTTTATAAAGTTATACATAAAGTGTATTTTAAAGTGATTTTTAGGAATTTATCGTTATTTAAGAAATAAGAAAAGAAAAATAATGCTGGCTAATATAACTTAATATAACTAACTTAAAAGAGAAACCATCTGAGTTGTTTTGAACAGGATCAATGAAAAACCTTTCTTACTACACAACGGAGACGGATAATAATTTTATTTGTTTGGGTTTTTTTGTTTTTTCAACTAATGGACTACTCTGAATATTTCAATTTTTGGTCCATTCAACTGACAGCTTGCATATTTAGAGATATAACATATCATTTAAAAAAAAAAAAAAAAAAAAAGAGATATAACATGGGGTTTTATGATTTTATGATTTATGATCAGCCATTTTTAAGGAACATCTAATGAACTAAAATCAAACATAAGATTAAGCAAGTAATATGAACCTAGAAGCCAATAAAATAGATCACACAGAACAATAAGTGAGCTGTCCAACAAAGCAGAACTGGTTGTTATTACAGTTTTTCTCAGTCGCTTTGGTGCGTTTCTCAGAACACCATTAACATTTGCACAGCAGTTAGTGCATTTCCCAAAACAATTAGTGCAAACTGCAAAACCTAGTGGATAGCCTGCAAAAGCACGTCACATGCACAGAATTGATTATCCATACCTCAAAAGCAAGTATCCATGTCAATGAAACTGTCAGTGCCATCAAAATGAAAAGTCTTGACATCATCTTTATGAACAAGATAGTCAAATGGCATTGTCATGTTTC